GAATTTAATGAGTCGGAGATGAGACCGTGAGCTGATGAATAACAGATTTCTAGAGTAGTTCTACCTGTACAGGGTTGTTGCAGTCTATTCAAGAAGTAAAGTCACATTTGATATCAGTCTCTTTACTAAAATAAAATAAGTTTGATTACTGTCCATGCTCTTAAATAGAGCAGTGTGATATATTGTGCCCTGGTTTGAGAGGCAGACTTTGTATTTTATGATCTGCTCTTGAAATACTTGACAAAAGTTTTTCTTCTGGCAATACCTGCTACAAAGGCTTTTATGGGTGGGTTATTCTCTGTCAACCCCTTCTGATCCTGCCAGCTCTGTATGCATACCTTTAGACACCGCAGCTCAAGACATAAAGTCCATTCTGTTGGCTCTTTGCTAAAATAACTGTTCCATGTTGTACCAGTCCTACTCATACCATTGGGCAGAATTGCTTGTGTTGTTTATTTTACTGACCCATAGAAATTAACTGTCTGGTGCTGGAAATGCAAGCCACAGTCTTGCCCTTAGGGGAAACTTTCCTGCTGTTTCCTCAAATCAGTAATGACCAAGTTACTCTTCGTACACTTCTAAAAATATTCAGATTTCATAGATTTCATAGACATTAGGGCTGGAAGGGACCTTAAAGATCATCAAGTCCAGCTCCCTGCCCCAAGGGCAGGAAGTCAGCTAGGGTCAAAGGATCCCAGCAAGATGCACATCCAAACGTTACTTGAATGAGTCTGGAGTAGGTGCCTGCACCACTTCTGGGAGGAGTCTATTCCAGGTCTTGGGGGCTTGGACAGTAAAGAAGTTTTTCCTTGTGTCCAGCCTAAAATGGTCTTGGAGGAGTTTATGACTGTTGGCCCTTGTTTTCCCTTGGGGCGCTCTGGTAAACAGACATCCTCCCAGATCCCGATGCACACCCCTGATGTACTTATAAGCAGCCACCAGGTTCCCCCTGAGCCTGCGCTTTTCCAGACTGAAGAGTCCCATGGCGCTCAGCCTCTCTTCATAAGGCCTGTTCTCTTGCCCTCTGATCATGTGCATGGCTCTCCTCTGGGCTCTTGCAAACTTCTTGACATCCTTCTTAAATTGTGGAGCCCAGAACTGGATGCAGTACTCCAGCTGTGGCCTCACCAAAGCCAAGTACAGCAGGAGGATGACATCCTTAGATTTACTTGAAAAGTATCTATGGATGCAAGCCAGAGTGTTTTTTTGCTTTACCATCTGCAACATCGCATTGATGGCTCATGTTCATCTTGTGGTCAGTTGTGACCCCCAAGTCTCTTTCAGCAGTGGTGCTAGCAAGTGTAGCACTGCCGAGCCTATAAGCATGCTGCAGCACCAGCTGACTTGCAGGTGCCCAGCCTCTCGGTGTTCCTTTACTAGATCTACACCGATGCTGGGTATAAATACGCCCTCACCCTGGCCATCCTGCATCATGCTAGGCAGGGCAGTCCCATTGGTTTGATGAAAGACCAACGTGAAGTACCCATTAAGCAGGTTGGCTTTTTCCTGGGTGTCAGTTATCAGCTGTCCCATTTGGTTTAGCAGGGGTCCAGTGTTATCCGATTCCTTACATATCTGAAAAAGGGCTTCTTATTATCCTTGATATATGAAGCCACATGGAGCTTGGTTGCAGCCTTGCCTTTCCTGATCCGCTCCCTGCAGGTACGGACAAGTGCTGAGTACTCCTCCTTGGTGGTAATTCCAGCCTTTATAAGTCTCTCTTTTGAGGCGTAGGAAGTCCTCAGTTTCCCTGCTGAGCCAAGGGGGTTGCTGTGCCCTTTTGCTACCCTTCCTTTGAGATGGGATGGCCATCCCTTGTGCTGTCAGGATCGTTCCCTTGAGGAGCAACCACTCCTCTTGTCCAGTCATGGTCCCTTAGGGCCTCGACAGTGAGCCTCCTGAGCTTGTCAAAGTCAGCTTTCCTGAAGTCGAGGACTTCAGCATTGCTGACTGACTTGCCACCTCTGCGATGGATTGTAAAGGTGATCAGCTCGTGGTTACTATCAGCCAGCTTTCCATCAATTCTTAGGTCACTGACTAGATCATCCCCTTTGGCCAATACCAGGTCCAGCAGTGCTTTACATCTTGTCGGCCCATAGACTTCTTGAGTCAGGTAGAGCTCATCCACGCATGTGAGGAAGCTTTGCAACCGATTGGATTTGGTCGAGTGCTCTTCCCATGAGATGTCCGGGTAGTTGAAGTCTCCCATGACAACCATGGACCGGGAGCATGCAGCCTCAGCCAGTTCTGTGGTGAATTCCTGGTCCAGCTCTTGTTTCTGGTTAGGAGGTCTGTAGTAGACTCCTACCATGGTGTCCCCTGTGCCACGTTCCCCACATATTTTAACCCAGAGGGACTCCAGTCATCTTCCCTGGGTGCCAGTGTCAATTTGCAGGGACGTGTAGCTGTCCTTGACAGAGAGCTATACCCCCACCCCTTTTGTCTACACGATCTCGCCTGTATAGCGTATAGCCATCTATACCTGTGGCCCAGTCATAGGTGGAGTCCCACCAGGTCTCCGTTATCCCTATGAGATCGTAGTCATTCTTGTTTAGCAGGAGGACCTGTTCCTCCTGTTTATTCTCCAAGCTCCTGGCATTGGTGCACACCAGAGGTGGGCAAAATGCAGCTCGCGAGCCAGATGTGGCCTGCCAAGCCATTCTGTTCGGCCTGCGGGGCCTCCTAAAAGACTTACAAAATTAATATTTATCTGCCCCTGGCTGCCTGTCACACGACCCTCAATGGCTTGCCAAAACTCTGTGAGTGGCCCTCTGCCCGAAATAATTGCCCGCCCCTGGTGTTCAGGCACGTAAGTGTCCCACTGGGGGCCTTGCCTTTCCCTAGCCCTGGAACAATCTGTAGGTAGGGGTCAGTTCCCTTGAGTACCTTGGCCCACTGGATTTGCAAAGGTTGCTCAGTGGGCTTGCAGTGGCGGTAGTCCCCCCCATTCCCTGGTGGGCTTAGTTTAAAGCCCCATTGAGCAGGTCAGCCAGTCTGGCTGAGAAGAGCCTCCTCTGCAGCGCAGTGTGGTGGAGGCCGTCTCTTCCCAGCAGACCACTGCCTCTCTCACCAAAGAGTGGACTCTGATCGTGGAAGCCGAAGCCTTTGCATGACACCTGTCGCAGTCCTTGGTTGACTACCTCGATCCTCCTCTCCCTCCTCAGCCCATAGCCCAAAACCAGGAGGATCGAGGAAAACACCACCTGTGCCCCCAACCCCTTAAGCCCTGCTCCCAAAGCCCTGTAGTGTCTCACGACCCAGCTAGGATTGCTCCGAGCCATGTCATTCGTACCCACGTGGATAAGGAGCATAGGGTAGTGGTCAGTGGACTGGATGAGTTTAGGGATCCTCTTAGCCACATCCCGGATACGGGCTCCTGGGAAGCAGCAGACCTTCCGAGCTAAGGGGTTGAGGTGGCAAATCGCGCCCTCAGTCCCCCTCAGGAGGGAGTCTCCCGCGATGACCGCTCTACAAGTGGCCTTAGGGAGAGCAGGGATGGTAGCTGTGGGTGAGCATCTGTTGCCTGCAGGAGCTGGCAGCTCTGCAGGCTCTACTGGGGCTGCACAAGGTTTGTACTTGTTGCAGAGCCCCAGAGGGGAGGGGACCTTGGTGCAGCATGCCTTGAGGCCACTGACCACCTTGGTCCAACCCCCTGGCTAGACAGAACGGGGGATCCCAGAATCCTCCCTTGTCTTGAGCTATAAGAGCTGGACCAGCTGAGCTACACAAGTCCCCTCCCTCCAGGGCCCTGCTTACCTCCAGCTGTGCTGGGAGTCGGCGGGGTGCTCCGTGGTTGCTGGGGGTTGCTGGGGGGCTTTGGGGTGCGGGGGCACGATGGGCTTGCAATGGATGTTTCATTGCCTTTCTTTTTCTTCAGTCCTCAAGCACCACCTCCACCCGAACCAGCTTGGGAAGAAAAGCAAACAAGCATTATCCACCTTGTGGGAGAAGACTTCAAGGAATCTTTGAAGAAGAAGAAGCATGCCCTTGTCATGTTCTATGCCCCATGTGAGTAGATGTTTCTCTTGCCATACAGCTTTTGTGTGCCTCCATTGTATTTCTATGCACTTTTCTGAATAGATGTGCTTTTAGATCTGCTCTTTAAAACAAAACATCCAGATCTGAACACCCTGGCCTTGTCAAAGTTAAAACCTGCTTAGCTGTTTTGGGACCATCTCTAACCTATTTTGTGCATCCGTATGGAGAGAAAAAAAAAGTCAACAGGTTTTAATCTAAAAGGTTACTGAGCTACCACAGACCCCAAAGGAGGCGGATGGATAAACGAAGTGAATTTTATTTTCCTTGGTTTCATCTTCTGGCCTGCATTAAAAAAAATGTTATCCATTACAGTATAGCAGTAGACACAGAGGACCGGGTTTGCTAATGCATAACTCCAGCATATTTGCCATTTTTATTCCAGTGATATCACTAGAGTACTACAAGAGAAATTAGTCCCTTACAGTCCAAGCCCAAATTCTGATGGGACCTTTCCAGTAATAAATTTGTATTTGAATCCACGTGTGCATGAGTATAGCAACTGCGTCGCCAAATTACCTCATTTACATTAGTGAGTCAGCTCCTTTTGATGACGGTGGGAATCTTTCCATTAGACCCTCTGTAAGTAAGGTAGTTTGGGGCAAAGCTGATTTCTCCAACTATTTTATATTACTGTATTGTGGCATAGCACAGGTTGTGCCTGCCACTTCAAGGGCTTGAGCAGGCTGCAGATCTGTCTGCAGGTGGGAGCAGACCCAATCAGGTGGGTCACATGGCACCCAGGAGGCTGCCTCTGTTCCCCTGCCTGCCTTTTTCCCTCCTCCCCTTATTTTTGCTCCATGCACCCTGCAACCTGGGGCTCTGAGCACAGCCCCAGCCCAGCCCTGTGGCAGCAGCATGCAGCCTGCATGGGTGCTGTGGGGGCCAGGCTGAGCTAGGCTAGGGCCATGCTCAGTGTCCTAGGCTAGATGGAGCCTGCTGGTGCTAAGCAAGGTTGCGGGGGGGGCAGAGGTTGAGGGGAAGGGGGAACAGAGGTTGTGGGGACCAGGCAGGGGGCAGAGGTAACACGGGGACAGGCACAAGCAGGGGCCAAACTGTTTGACCTCTCCACACCACCTGCCTCAGAATTGCCTGCTCCCCTGCAGCAGTGGGAGAGATGAATTTTAAGATGACCCTCCAATAACTAGATTCTATATGTGGAAAATTATAAAAAATTTATACAATTTCCATGTACAGAATCTAAAGGGGGAGGGGGTTATCTTGAATTCAGAGTTGTCTTAAATTTGAGTAAATTGTTTTGCTTTTTTCAAATATAGTCAGTTTCCAGCCAAGAGTGCCTCATCTGTCTTCCTGATTTTCACTGTGCTGTTTGTGTTGTTTAAGCCAGCAAATTCATCTTTTCTGTTTTCAGTATTATTCTAGAGAGGTCTGGACACCATGTATATTCTAAACTTTTTTTTTTTGGTTTGTACTGGAAAAGAACGTATCTATGTAATGTCTATTTGATATTTATAGTCTTTTTAAAAAAAAAAAAAAAAAAGCAGGCAGATTCAGTCTCCAAACTTGCATGTAAAATATTGTGCTGTCAGACGACCGTCTTGCAATTAATTGAGAACATTTAGATAAGCAGTTCCTAACTTATGGACAGTATCAGACTTGTTCCCACAAAACTGAAGGCCTTTTTTAATCAGACCCTTAATGTTTAATCAGGCAGCTCCTTATTTTGCTTTTCTGTCTGAGAATGAAACATGAATGCAATCTGGGCTCCCACAAAGCTGTGCTGGATATGGGATGCAGAGAGATGGTGAGGAGTGGAATTCACAAGGGAATTCCTGGAAGGCTGTAAAAGAAAGTGGAAAGGCCTTAATCCTTTAGGCAGCTCTAGTTCCCACCACCCATTGACTAAAAATTGCTTCTGTGCCAGGAATTTCTGATTCGCAGAACCCAATTGGGTAAGAATGGAACTTTTAAATGATACGTTAAATAGTGTGAGTAAAGTCGTGTCCAGCTAGTTTGCTTTACCTTCTCTTTCCATTATGAACTACTTTCTATGAAGGAGAGAGAACTTTTTTTTTTTAAATTATTTTTAATTTCTCCAACCTTCCAAGAGCATTTTTAAATTGCTTCTCTAACTTTGTGTCAGGAGAAGGGGAGGAAGGAGTGGCACTAAATCTTAAATAGCATTTAAATTTTGAACTTCATAAGACATTATGCAGTTTATTAATGCCCAGCTCCTATGGTCACATGCATGTGTCTTCTCTGTGACAGCTAAATGGTGAAACCCTTACTCATTGAGTAGTACCTTCCCCCATGCATAATTCCACTAAGTTAGTAGGATTGTGTAGGGATGTGAAGGTCATGGAGCAAAGTTACTATCTTTGAGAGTCAGGTTATCAAGGTTGTCATAGCCTGTCTCTACATGTATTAATGGGCCACTGGAATGGAGTTGGCCTGATTCTTTGCTATTCTGCACATCTGGATTCCTTGTTAAACCTGTTCTTAGGGACCTACTCAATTTGCGATTTCATCAATTTTTTTTTTTTTTGCAAAAACCACAAAATTGCCATTGTCCATGAAATCTGTGAACTAGAGAGAAAAAAAAACACCTTACTAAAAATAAAATGATGGATCCCCAGTGGGAGCCAGTGGTCCTTGTGGCCAGTACAGCCCAGCCTCAAAGCCCTCTGGGCGGAGGGAAGGGGAGCTGCCGGCACCAAGGTGGCACCACCTCCTCCTGCCCCTTGCCACTAAATGGCTGAGAGCACTGGCCCTGCCCCTCTTGGCCAATCAGCAGCGAGGGGTGGGGCCACATGACAAACAGCCCTTGGCCAATCAGCAGCAAGGGGTAGGACCACAAACCTCTTGGCCTATCAGAGGCATGGCGGGAGGGAGGGGTGCTGCAGTAAGCCCGTGAAAATGGTGGCTGGCCCCACAGTCGGCCCGCGAAATTGGCCACCTGCCTCCTTGATTTTGGTAGGTCCCTACCTAGTCTTGAAACGCGTAGTCTAGAGAAGAAGACTGAGGAGCAATGAGGTGTCACGGTCTTCAAATATGTAAAAGATGATTGCAGAGAGGAAAGTTATCAACTGTTCCCCATGTCCCATTGGAGGGCAGGACAAGAAGTAATGGACTTCGATTGCAATGGGAAGTTTAGGTTAGATCCGGGGTGTCAAACCTGCCTGGCCCCCAGATCTGGATGCAGTGGCATTCAAGGCAAGGGGTGGCAGCAGCCATGTGGGGCTAACACAGCTATTGCTCCCCCTTCTCCCTCCCTCCACCCCACCGGCAATATGCATCCCCAGTGGGCAATGCACCTGGATTGTGGCAGCAAGTCCTGCTCCTGTCTCTCTACCCTGAATCCCTGGCTCCTCTGGGGCACCCTCAGGGCAGAGGACCTGCTTCATAGACAGGATTCAGCCTGTTGGTCATAGATTTACCACTCCTGTGCTAGACATTAAGAAAAGCTTTCTAACTGTAAGGAGAGGTCAGCCCGAGCACAGATTACCTACAGAAGTTGTAGAAGCTCCTTGGCTGGAGGTTTTAAGAGCAGGTTAGACGCACAAAAAAATCTGTCAGGGATGTTTTATGATTAGTTGATTCAGCCGTGAGGCAAGGCATGGACGAGATGAGTTTTCAGATGCTCCTGAGATCCATTTTCTGCGATTCTAACAACACGCTTTGAGCCAAACGATACCCCCGTCTGTCTGTGGGTAGGATAGATGGGTGTTTGGAAAGCAGATCAATCACAAGGATTTGTCTGATTCCTCATTAAGAGCATCATTGCCTTTGCAGTCCCCCAAGTTTAGGGCTTGCGGTGTTTTGTCGGCGTCAGATTTATTCTCATTAAACATCAAAGTTTGCGGTTATGTGCAGGCCTGGTGATACATAAATACACACACGTACATACGTTCAGCCAGCCTGTTCTTGATCAGGCGTGGCAAGAAATGATTGAATATTTTAAGTCTCTGGGTGCAATGAAATAATTATTAAGGAAAACAGAACAGTACAAATCATCCTGTACGAACTCGGCTGCTTTTCTGAACTGATAATGTGCCTTCTGCTAAATTTGATAGATTAACTTTTGTTTACAACTTTCTCAGTCATGGGACCTCTTGGTGCTTATGCTTGCCAATTAGTGCTAACTTGCTTATTTTAGTGCAGAAGGAGCACTGGTAAAATTGCCAGGCCTCATTAGATCAAATAATTTCTGTTCTCTATTCAGATCCACGTCCCAGGTCAGTGCAGCCCCGCTGTGTGTTACTCTATTCAGTGAGTGCTCCATGAGAGGGGGGGCAGGGTTTATCTTTTGCACAAACTACAAACCTCTTCTATTTAGACTTTGAATTTAAAACAGTGGATTGAGTGGTCTGACCTTTCTACAGCCTTCAGTTAAAGTAACGAACCTTTAGGCAAAGGCCACGGTGATTTCTATCCTCTTTATTCCTATTAAATTAATATCTTGCATTTGTATATAGCGCCTTTCAACCCAAAGCACTTAACGTACATAGGAGACCCTTCGCTCTGCTGAAATGCAGCCATCTCTTGGGGAGGAAAGCAGCAGTGTTTTAATAGCACATAGCAACATTTCAGTGGTTTAAGAAAGGAAAGGAAGACTGCTGTGTCCAGCTGAATGAGCAACGGGAATCCTAGTAGGAAGCAAGTAGGTGCCATTTTGAATTTGGCCATAACACCGAGGCTCAAACCGTGGAAAAAAGTAATGTAGGGCCTTTTAATAACTTTGAACTCAATGAAGTCAATGGAAAGAGAGGCTCCCATTGACTTCAGATTGCTCAGTGAGTGACAAACACCTTGGCTTCATATTTCATGTGCAAAGAGGCACTTCTGGCAGCGCGATGAGCACTGAATTATACTGAGCTGTTAGCTCATTATTGGCTCGGGGGAAGAAAATCACCCACTGCATAGCCAGGGCAGTAACTAGGTTTTACCTGACGTTTCAGTCTGGAACTAATTGAGTCCCACTCAGAGCCGTGTTGTGCTGCCAGGCAGTGAGC